ACACGACGAAACACAACACAACGTTGTTTCACGTCGGTTTTCTGCTCGGCCGTGGTATCACTCCGGTCGAGCCGGCCCATTCGTGCCGAAGCATGGTTCTTTCACAATTAAAACTCGCACTCTCACACACTTTGCCTGCATTCTAATCTTCAGACCATAATCTACCCCTATTCCAAGTTTCATCTTCATCTTCATTTCTGGTTGAGTAACAGACGTACAAACACACTCACTACCATTCGCATTTATAATATTAGTAAGAAGTAAAATAATATACCTAATGTTACATGTTTTAATCCTAGGAGGGATAAGCAGAGATGCACATATACAATGTAACAACAATTTTTCACCTATTCATTGCTTTATCATATGTGTTAATGGAATGCTTCCGAAGTAATCAACTGCTCAAGGCTGATGTAGCATGAATAACAAGAAAATAAAATTGATTAAAATTGTAAAAACCATTCGCGCTTTGAGAGCATTCTATTTACATCCTATATAATTATTATGACTAGTGACTCTAGTGCAGTTTCATTCGCTCGGCTCAGATGAGCTTCTTCTTCTTCAAAAAGATCTCTTTCTGAGAGATGTTTTCAACTGTCAAACACCAAGCGGTCACCGCAACCTATTGTTCTACAATTGTGTCTATAATGACGGTACTCGACGAGTTAAACCCTATAGCCTCCTTGAAAAGTTTACAATCCCACACAAAGATAATTATTCAATTTGTGGTCCAAATTGTTTATTTTAATAAATAATTCCGGAGATTACCACAAATGTTATAATAACTTTATTTCATTAAAAAATCCCATCTACCTAACTACAATAATGTAACTGCTTTCTGATATCATAATAAAAAGTAACTCGAACTCTGACCTTTGATTTCATGCATAAATAAGTATTATACTCACATGAAATATTAAACTTAAGGATATAATGCAAACCCTGAATAAAACTATGAAAAATTGACTCAAGATTAAATTTCGCAGTACTTATAAAGCTCTTTATGTATAATTTATGTTGTTCAAAAGATATTAATAATACTTACAGTAATCCCCAAGGTGTCTTTTAGCATATTCTCATATATTTCAACATTTTCTTTACCTTGGTAAGTTAAATTTAGGCTTTTGAAGTGACCATCCGCGTGACAACAGCGGCATAAAGTACTTAGATTCCATATTTCAGACATTAGTGTCCGTTTTAAATATATGTTGTAGTATTTATTTAGAAATAAATTAATATTTGTGTTTTTCAAAAAACTACTTTGGTATTTTTGACAATGACAACAAAATTACAAAGCAAAGGAAATAAGGAATGTCAAAATTTCATTTGTCAATGTCACTAGTCTAGTGATGTAGTCGATTTGGATATTAATCGAGTTAAATAATCGACTAAAAAATGATAACTTGAAAATTGGAAGCTTAGTCGTATTATATGATGTTCAAAATTCAAAACACGTAGGTAATAAGAATAACATTAAAGAGTAATTAATATGTTATTGGTTCAACATTATCATATTGCTCGTTGTATGTGCTTATTACCTTAGTTACATGTGTGAGGGAGTTATAGCTAAAGGTTTTCGAAATTCTCTCTATAAAAGCTACTGTGAATGATCACGTTATGCATGCACATGTACCATATTTTTATTTTCTTATGCAAGAGGGATTGCCCATGGTGTTGTCGAATGAAATCACTTTTTGATGGTCAGGATTGTGGATTTTTATCTTTAGGGTGCAAATAAAACCAAAATTTGTTTAAAATTTGTTTTATTATAACTACACGCAAAAGCGATGTACATTAATTCTGCTTCGGACTTTGTTTCACAGTTACAACGTTTAACTAACAGTATAAACTGATTACAACGTAATAATATTTACAAACAACATCACACAAAGAAATCAAAAATCGACTATTTAAACTTAGTCGATTTTTCAAACAGATCAATGAGAAAAAACATATACAAGTAATAAAATTCGTATTTATTCGAGAAATGTAATAAATATACTTAAAATTTAATTTAATTACACATTTAAACTGAGAAACAATATTATTATAGCAACACTAAACACAACATATTTAAAATCTTCGTAATTTTATGTTTTTGTAAATGCAACGTAACAATTCAATACAAATTTTAGCCGCATATTTATTTTCTATACATTAATAGCGTATTTCATATATTTACTTTAACTAATAATCATAAAAGGCATGTCAGAGTGTGCAAAAATGTGATGTTTGTCTGTTCAACCTCGCTACATCCTTGTTGACTGGACATCTACACTACATGAGCTGCTGTTTACATGTGAACATTAGCTCATGACGATACCTAAGTACGTGTGTCGCCTGGACAGTCAACCTCGCTACATCCTTGTTGACTGGACATCTACACTACATGAGCTTGTTTACTTGCACACTCGGATCTCTAGTGGATAATTTCTTTTTTAATATTATTGTACTTATTTTTTTAATTATTTACAACTATACACAATTTGGCAGTAATTTACAATAAATTCTAGGTTTGCGATTTGGGGCATTGGGTGAGACAAATCTAAAATCATTAATAAGTCTTTATTTCTTGCTAATCTGGAATTTGTATGAAATTCCTTGCAGTAGTATCAATTCCTGGAATCATATGTGTGAGACGTAATACCAGCTAGATGTTTCCGTAGTCTCACAAAAAGGTAAAATTAGAACAAAGAAATATTCATTATGTATCAAGTTAGGAGTAATTTTAAAGGTAGACTCTAGGTGTATTCTCTACACTTTACAAGATGCTATTCAAAAGAATTGAGCATTAATTGTCATATTCAAATTGACAAGTTATCGTACCTAACTGTCTTAGTCGATTACCGTAAATATCGGAAACGATTTAGTCGATTTTCAACTCGATGTAGATTTCGATTATTTTTGCACAAAAATTTTCCTAACCTGAATCAAAAATGTATTATGGCAGGAGTCCCATTTAATAAGGGATGCCTAAAGTCGCTATCTAAGTATACCTAACGAATTTCTAAGTCCAGCACTGGGCGTGGGACTAATCTACACATATAAGGCAACTACATAGCTTATATAATCGACTACTTCAAAAATGGTGTTCTTTTAATGTGTATAGAAGAATTGGAAATATAGAAAAATATTGTATTACTTACTAATGGCACAAATTATCACCAACAGTGGGTGGCAGTCAACTACTGGATTATGAGCCTCCTCGACATAAGAGGCGGTTTTTTTAAGAGGGGAAATTCATCGTGTGACTTCTCCCGCCTGGGTGAGGTGGGAGGGAGTGTCAGACTCTTACTGACTAAAAACCACCCCATTTCCACTTCTGCACTTCGAGCCGGAGCCCCGGTAACCCGTTAAGTCCTCCGCGGCCCTATTGGGCCCCATCCGTGGTGGTCTGATGGCTCTTTGAGGAGCGCGCGGAACGCTCGGCGCCGTACGCTCGGGTCTGTTTCTGGTCGGACGGGGAGCCACCCATGCTCTATGTCCGCAGGCCCGCGCTTACGGTGGCCGGAGATCGTCCCGCGATCCCCGACGCCCGGTGTGTCCTTCGCGATGGCTGGGTTGCGAGGAGGCAGCGCTTCGCTGCCTCACGCGTCCCGCCTCCTCCTTAGCTAGCATGACTGATTCGCAAAAGGAGGAGACGGCATCCCAGTAGCAAGCGAATTGACGAAATGGCATTCGAAAAGGTTGGAAGCTGGCATTGTGTTTTCTTAGTATCAATGATCGCGCTCTAAGTTTATGATTGTAAGTTTCGGTACAGCTCGAAAATAGACGAGCATGCTGCAATTAGCTTGTTTTAAAAAAGATTGGCCATTAGTAGTAATACAATTTTCTTTGACTGGATTTAAATATTTATAGCTTAGTTAAAAATATATTCATCTCTTCCCCGAGATAGTTAAGGGATGATGACTTTATATCTGCTATTTTGTATGACTAAACTGGTGATTATTCATAAAGATCACCATCCCTATTTTCCAAAAAACTCTACATACATACAACTACAATATACAATAACATTAAAATTATTTGTCATGGATTCTAAATCACCACTATCACCACATTTGGTTAATAATTACCACTCTGCCAGGTGCGGTGATTAACGCAAATCAACAACTATACGTTGTTTTAAGCTAGGAAGACTATATCAGTGCTTTTTACTGGCAAAGTGGTAAATAACCAAGTATATTGACAATTATAGATTTTGGTGTTTTATCAAAGGCTAAGTAATTACGTTTCCCAACTAGACCAGCTAATTGGTATGTTCTAATATAGACACATTCTTCTTTATTCTCACGAGTAAATTAAACCATTTTCAATTGTTAGTATAATAACTATCGTGAGACATACTAAATTAACTAAATACCGCGGGTTACTCACGTGAATATACTGAAGAAATCTCTACTAGTTTCGCCAGTAGGCTGCACGACATCGCCGCGATCGCGCACGATACTCATGAGGAAGAACTCCTCTGTGGTTTAACTAGTAGAGCTTTTCTCAGTATATTCACGTGAGTAACTCGCGATTTTTAGTCACATTCTCTCTATATTCTCACGATCAATTTAAATCATTTTTTATTATTATTTTTATTAATCCTCAACTTTTTAAACTATACTTTTTCATTTAACCACCATGTGAAAGTTGATCCATTACTTGAGGTAAGGATTGTTAAATTATTTGTTTCCTTTCATTGTATACGGTGGGCAGCAGGTCAACCTCTTCTTTTCTGTCAATTGTCTCTATTACATCTTCAACTTTACTATATTCAAGTGTGGGAGAGCCATGCTTCGGCACGAATGGGCCGGCTCGACCGGAGTGATACCACGGCACAGAAAACCGACGTGAAGCAACGCTTGCGTTGTTTCGTCCTGTGAGTGAGGTTACCGGAGGCCCAATTACCCTCCCCTTCCCCAATCTCCCCAATCCCTGAATCCCCAAACGATCCTCTAACTCCTATTCCCCAAATGACCGGTAACGCACTTGTAACGCCTCAGGTGTCCATGGACGACGCCGATTGCTTACCATCAGGTGATCCGTCAGCTTGTTTATCGGCTTATGCCATAAAAATAATTGACATAAAGTCCAAAATCGAAGCTGATCTACTGGCCACCGTACTTGCCTGTATTAAAATTAGCGATATACTTTCACGTTAAACACTCTCAAGGAATATTCTTTCTGTCTACAAACCCTATGATCACAATCACAGCCTTCATTACCAATACAACTTTTATAAATCACCACATAATAAGTTAATTATAAATTGGTGATTAACACTAATGTTAAACAGCGATTACTTTCCCGTTATACTCAACAGACAATCAAACTTGGCGATTAACTCTCGTTAAACTCAAAGTGGTGATTAAAAATAATAATTTACAAACATGGTGATTAACGATTTATCCCTCTATTGGATCGGACGGATCATAATCCATATCCCCGCAGTATTCGGCTAGGAAATCTAGAAATAGTGTGAACTTGCCGGTAGATGATCGCGACCACCGCGCTGACACCGACTTCATGCACGTCGATAGACTTTCTAGGACGCTCTGAGAAAGAAAGAATGTAATATTAAGTCAAGTGGTGATTAATAAAAATCGAATATATTAGGCAATTTGTTAATTATTCTAGATAACCACCTGTTGAGGATTTCGCAAAAACTGACAAAATTAAAATAGAGTTTTCCCCGGTCCGGCAATCGAACTCAACGCCTCATGCTTGACAGACATGCTTCAAACCGCTTGACAAACAATAAATAAATTATGCGCAATATGTAAACTATATGTAGCGAATTTCAAAACAAAAAAACCAATATGTTATAAAAAGAAATTCACTACCAAGAATCTTCCCGGGAATCGAACCCAAAACATAATCAAATAATAAACAAAAAGATACGAACCTGAGACCAATCCTGTCTGTACACAGCTAAGCACTGCTCCGTTAGAGAATCTTCGCTCAAATAATCATGTTTCAACAAAAATACTAAGACTGTAGCCATTGCCTCCCAAACATCGACACTTTTCCCATCACTAAGCAACATTATATTCCTTGGACACAAAATCCTATCGAAAAACTCCAAATTCACATCACTATCATCACTCTCTTGGCCTTGACTACCCGATTTTTGGGGCAAACTTTCCGAGTTTTGTTGCAAATTCTCCGAGTTTAGAGGCAAATTTTCCGATTTCGGTTCCAAGTTCTCCGGGTTGGTAACTATGACGATTTTCGTGGGAATATCTTCGTCGCTTATTGGCGTTGGGGCGCGTTCTTCATCCTCGAAATTTCGGAATTGTGGTGATAATTCTTCTCGCCTTTCCGGAAGAGTTATTTCTTGAGGTGGAGATCTCTTCCTGTCTGGACAGCAAACGTTCCATACTGCATGGAGTTTTGATAAAAAGGATTCGTTGACATCTTTCGGTTTTCGGCTTACTGTGAAAGAAAATATGTGGTCAATTTTGTTTGTTATAATGGTAATTTCGCCTAACTTTCCTTACAAAAAGGTGTCATCATCAACAGCCTATAAGTGTCCACTGCTGACCAAAGGCCTCTTCTCACACGGAGAAGGTTTAAAGCATTAATCACCACGCTTGCTCAAAGCTTGTTGTCGGTTTCAAACTTATAATTAGAAATTATAAGTCCTAGTTTCCTCACGATGTTTTCTTTACGATGTTTTTTAGCGTCAAACAGCATACTTATTACTTAAAAATTTGCTGGAAAATACTTAAATGAAGTTGGTCATAAAATCAATTAATGAAAGTATGATTATTTTTGATTAATGAAATAATTCACAGTCATCATAATTTTTTTATATAATAGATATTTGCACGCCATGATAAATGGCAGACATATCGTGAGCCACTTTTGTCTAAGATCTTGCATGCTGTATTATTTTAATTCTGTATGCACACACATGTTTGAGCAAATAAAATTCTTATTCTTAAAGAAAGTACCCAATTGCAGTAACACCTCTGGTGTTCCAGGTGTCCATGCGCGACGCCGATTGCTTACCATCAGGTGATCCGTCTGCTCGTTTACCGGCTTAGACTATAAAATGATTAAAACTTACCAAAAACAACACACAGGTCGACGCTAAGCTGCAATATAGCGCGCTGTGTGGGCGGGCGAATGAACATGTTGGTCGGTGTACATGCTAGCGCGCAACTTGATAGGACGCGGGGTAGGCAGGGACTGTCACTGCCGTCTAGGAGGAGGCACACTTGTTCCTGGAAATAAATAAAATGTTATCAATATTAGGTTTGTCATAATCTTGGCAGGTGCTAAACATGGGGATTAATGGTCTTACGTCACCCGGCATTACATTTTACTCGGCTATGGGTGGCCGGGAACAGAGACCAGGCATACATATTTCTCATCGTACGAATATCTTCGTCATTCTTCCCTGTCACACGAGTAGACTAAATATAACTACACACTTGACAAATGACCGTGCAGCAGGAATCCTTCATAAACTTAAATCTCAAACCCGTCTGCCAAGTGTGGGGATTATGGAAACACTATTGTAGAAGAGGCTCTTAGTCCAGCAATGAAAAATCACGTTTTCTCCAATGTGTCTTCCAGTTATGGGGATTAAGACAAGTTTGGGGATTAATAAGTTAGTGACACGTACCTTCAAATTAATAACACAAGCGGCGGCGCTGACATGCTGAGCCGTGAACTGAGCCCCCGGTGTAGTCATAGCACTAACATCCACTGCGTTCTTGTGACATGTGGTGACCGCTAGATCCCCGAGTGCGACTAGTGTCTTAACTTCAGATTCTATATCTTTGCAGAGGACAGCTGTGGAAGAAAATTATACATTAATATTAATTGTATCACTAAATGTTCCTAATCCCCGAATCCCCAATACGTTGGCAACGCACTAGTAATGCCTTTGTGGCCTGCGGACGGCGAGCATGGGTGGCTCCCCGTCCGACCAGAAACAGACCCGAGCGTACGGCGCCGAGCGTTCCGCGCGCGCCTCAAAGAGCCATCAGACCACCACAGATGGGGCCCAATAGGGCCGATGCCGATTCGGAGTCGCGGAGAACCTAACGGGTAACCGGGGCTCCGGCTCGACGTGCAGGAGAAGGAACGGGGTGGTTTTTAGTCAGTAAGAGTCTGACACTCTCCTGCCTCACCTAGGCGGGAAAAGACAAGCGATGATTTTACCCCCTTAAAAAAAACCTATAAAAAAATAAAGAAACGAATACTTTCGACGACATATTGATTTGAAATATCGCGTGACGTCATTTCTATGTACGTTGTATACTTAAAATGAGTCTACTGACGGACTAAATATTTAACCTCATTGACACGACAAAACACAACGCAAGCGTTGTTTCACGTCAATTTTCTACTCGTTGGTGGTATCACTCCGGTCGAACTAGCCCACTCGTGCCCCTCCCACACATAAAACATTCGTTACTCTCGCTAAAACTCGAGAAGGTTGAACCGATTTGGCAAATATTGGTCTTGAATTATTCGTGAAAATCCAGGGAAGGTGAGATAAAATTTTAAATGACACAAAGTTTGCCGGCTCATCTAGTAAAAAAATATATGTTGAACTGTCATATCCTGTCATCACCCCTATGCATGCGACTGACCGTGCGTGGCCCAGTTGTCGTGCAGCCACTTGTCGAGCCGAGCCCCGGCGGCGCGCACGACGAGCGCCACGAGCGGGGCGGGTGCCGCCGCCAGCAGCGCCGCCACGGCCGCCGAGCTGCGGCGCCGGATGGACGCGCGACCTGACTCCAGCGCCTTGCTCCTCAGTAACTGGAGATGCTCCGTGTATATTTGCTGGGCTGACGGTAGGAGATTCGCCTGGAAGATTAACACTACATAGTATAAAACAAAGTCGCTATCCACCGTCTGTCTGTCCCTATGTATGCAGATTTTGATGCGGTTTTTTTTAATATATATAGAGTGATTCTTAAAGAAGGTTAATATGTATAATACATGCATATTGCACCCGTGCGAAGCCGGGACGGGTCGCTAGTATATTATACAGTAGTGTTTGGTTTTGAAATTATATTAAAGAAACGTAGTACTATTTTAGTCGAGTATCAATTATTTGATAAGTTGACACAAGTCCCACGACCTGATGGTCAATGGAGGTACACATTACGGTACTTAATGCCACAGTACAATGTAATACTTCTTCTTTACAAAACGTGGAGACAAACATGCAAACAGATCACTAAGACATAAAAACCGACTAATGTTACCTACTTCTAATATGAGCCTACATTCCAATAGTCCGTATGTAATGTCTATAAAAATATATAATAAGCTACCAGAAGCCCTAAAGGAAGAACCCAGAAATATAAAATTTACTAATAAATTAAAACAAATACTCATAAATAAAGCATATTATAATATTAAAGAATATATTAATGATAAAGATTTAAAATAAACACTGTAATTAAAAATTAAATAT